CTTTGACCTTTTTATAGTGTCAGTGCTACAATGGAGTACTGTTGTCCACGGAGAGCAGTGTTGCAGTGTATGGAATGCTAAATCTTACCCCAAAGGGCAAGCAGGTGAGTGGATTGAGTTTTGCACTGGGTAAACGAATAGTTTATTTATTGGTTTGTTTTCCAGTGTCTTGGTTTGTACATTTGGCATATGTATTAGGGTTCTTCAGAGGGACAGAGCTGGTGGGATAGATGTATATATGAAAGGGAGTTTTTAAGGAGAATTCACTCAGAAGATCACAAGATGAAGTCCCACGATAGACCATCTGCAAGCTGTGGAGCAAGGAAGCCAGTAGTGGCTGAGTCCAAGTTCAAAAGCCTCAAAAGTAGGGAAGTGGACAGGGCAGCCTTCAGTCTGTGGCCGAAGGCCCAAGAGCCCCTGGCAAAGTACTAGTGTAAGTCCAAGAGTCCACAAACTGGAGAACTTGGAGTCTGATGTTCAATGACAGGAAGCATCCAGCATGGGAGAAAGATGAAGGACGGAAGACCTGGCAGGTCTGCACTTCCACCTTCTTCCTCTTGCTCTTTCTAGCGAGGCTGGTAGCCGTTTGGGTGATGCCCACCCACACTGTGGGTGGATCTGCCTCTCCCAGACCACTGACTTAAATGTTAATCTTCTCTGGCAACACCCAGATACACCCAGAAAATACTTTGTATCCTTCATTCCAATCAAGTTGACGCTTAATATTAACCATCACAGCATATAAATACAATAAATGTGAAGTACATGTCATATTCGGTATGCCTTTTCCAGTGAAATACGTACATTATACAACTCGTGATAAAAAGAATACAATGATTTCCAGCCTTACAGAATTCCTGAATCATCCTCATGGGCTATAATATAGCCACTGTGCTATAGATATATGAATTACTTTTCAGCCAGATGGAAATAAAAACTTAACAACCCACCTAAAAATTTTCAGAGAATTTCTTAATAGAATTTGAGAGGCTGTTTTTTTTGTTTTTTGTCTTTTTTTGAGACAGACTTTCACTGTTGTTGCCCAGGCTGGAGTGCAATGGCATGATCTCCACTCACCGCAACTTCTGCCTCCCGGGTTCAAGCAATTCTTCTGCCTCAGCTTCCCAAGTAGCTAGGATTACAAGCATGCACCACCATGCCTGGCTAACTTTGTATTTTTAGTAGAGACGGTATTTCTCCATTTGGTCAGGCTGGTCTCGAACTCCAAACCTCAGATGATCCACCCACTTCAGCCTCCCAAAGTGCTGGGATTACAGGCGTGAGCCACCACACCCAGCCAAATAAAGTGGTTTTTATGGCACCAAGATAATTATACGTTCCATATATGTGACTTTTAAAATGAATTGCTTTCTAATGTAATTATTAGGGAGAATTTGAATTTTTACTATATATATGTTTCAAAGATAAACAGCTTTTAATAAAACCTTTGCATTTTAGAAGTTAATATGTGCAAATACATTAATTTAAAGTAGGTGAGTAAGGCTGGGCATGGTGGCCCATGCCTGTAATCCTAGCACTTTGGGAAGTTGAGGCAGGTGAATTGCCTGAGCTCAGGGGTTTGAGACCAACCTGGGCAACTTGGCGAAACCCTGTCTCAACTAAAAATACAAAAAATTAGCCAGGTGTGGTGGTGCGCGCCTGGAAACCTCAGCTACTTGGGAGGCTGAGGCATGAGAATTGCTTGAACCCAGGAGGCAGAGGTTGCAGTGAGCTGAGATTGTGCCACTGCACTCCAGCCTGAGTGACAGAGTTAGAGTCCATCTCAAAAAATAAATAAATAAAAATAAAGTAGGTGAGTAGAAGCTGGAAAAATATATCAGCATGTTAACAGTAGTTAGTAGGGACTCCAGGTTGTGGGATTACAGTTTATTTTATAGTTTGTGCATTTCTTTTCTTTTCTTTTCTTTTTTTTGAGATGGAGTCTCCCTCTGTCGCTCAGGCTAGAGTGCAGTGGCTCACTGCAACCTCCACCTCCCGGGTTCAAGCAATTCTCCTGCCTCAGCCTCCTGAGTAGCTGGGACTACAGGTGTGCACCACCATGCATGGCTAATTTTTTGTATTTTTAGTAGAGATGGGGTTTTACTATGTTGGCCAGGATGGTCTTGATCTCCTGACCTTGTGATCTGCCCACCTCGGCCTCCCAAAGTACCGGGATTACAGGTGTGAGCCACCGTTCCGAGCCACAAATATCTTTTAAAAATAGAAATGCACAGGCTGGGCGTGGTGGCTCACACTTGTAATCCCAGCAATTTGGGAGGCTGAGGCGAGCAGATCACGAGGTCAGGAGATTGAGACCAGCTTTGCCAACATGGTGAAAACCCGTTTCTACTAAATATCCAAAAATTAGCCAGGTGTGGTGGGTGCCTGTAATCCCAGCTGCTCAGGAGGCTGAGGCAGGAGAATCACTTGAACCCAGGAGGCGGAGGTTGCTGTGAGCCAAGATTGTGCCACTGCACTGCAACCTGGGCAACAGAGCGAGACTCCATCTCAAAAAAAAGATATTTGTGTGTATGTGAGTGTGTATCCAGAAAGAATATTCATAAAAATATCAATGTAAAACTAAAGTAAGGCTGAGAATTATGAGGTTCTTAAAAATCTCAGCTTACCAAAACTTTGATTAAAATCCTCAATACTGTTAATTTTTTATTTCCTTTTCCTTCTTTCTCTGGACCCCACTTTTTAAAAATGCAGGCTCCAGGTGGCCATGAGCTGAGTTGTGACTTCTGGGAGCTAATTGGGTTGGCCCCTGCTGGAGGAGCTGACAACCTGATCAATGAGGAGTCTGACGTTGACGTCCAGCTCAACAACAGACACATGATGATCCGAGGAGAAAACATGTCTAAAATCCTAAAAGCGCGATCCATGATCATCAGGTGCTTTAGAGATCACTTCTTTGATAGGGGGTACCATGAAGTAAGTATGTGTTCGTCAACTTTTGCAAACAATACATTTTTTGCCGTTTTGAAACTTGAATAGTGGTGCTCACGATAGACACTGATTTACTCCTTCTTTGCATTTAAACAGGTTACTCCTCCATCATTAGTTCAAACACAAGTAGAAGGTGGTGCCACACTCTTCAAGCTTGACTATTTTGGAGAAGAGGCATTTTTGACTCAATCCTCTCAGTTGTACTTGGAGACCTGCCTCCCAGCCCTGGGAGATGTTTTTTGTATTGCGCAGTCATACCGGGCAGAGCAGTCCAGAACACGAAGGCACCTGGCTGAGTACGAAATTGTCTTTTTGTTTTTATTTCTTTTTAGTTAATATCTTTAGAGAAGAAATCTTAGTGTAGGTAAATTATGTCTGTTTAAAAAAAACAAAAAACTGATATATTAAGTGGTTAACGGAAGAACATACAACAAAGTTTTGCCACCTTAGATCATAGCTAAGGTCTCTTTTTTCACTTTGACTTGATCTTTTATATATGAAGGAACAAACAGGAAATTGCTGCTCAGTGGAGAAGAGGGGAGTCCACAGCTAATTTGCAAAGCTGGGAATTGGTAGCATTGTTGGAATTTTATGGACAGCTTCCCGATGTTAAAAGCCTTGCTGGAGGAAAAAACAGTGCGGGAGAAAAGCAGTTCTGAACTAGTGTCTTGTTCTTCAGGTACACTCACGTGGAAGCCGAGTGTCCTTTCCTGACCTTTGAAGACCTCCTGAACCGGTTGGAGGACTTGGTTTGTGATGTGGTCGATCGAATATTGAAGTCTCCTGCAGGGAGCATAGTGTATGAGCTCAACCCGGTAGGTACAGTGTTTATGGAAAGAAAAAGTCACAGTCCTTTTTTGGAAGACAATGAAGTCGTCATCCTCAGTTTTTGTAGATTTGATGGCTTGGTGAGCTGAAATAAGTGACTAATTATTTTGAAGACTAGAATTTGATGTTAGTCATTGTCGATAATTTTATAATGTTTTCAGTTATGTAAGAAGAGACTCATGTTTTCCATTTTAGGAATATCTACATAGTTTTCTAGTCTGACGTTTTCTATATATATATATGTGTGTGTGTGT